ATATATATATATATATATATATATATATATATATATATATATATATATATATATATATATATATATATATTAAGGTGAAAATGTTCTCGAGTGTGTATTATATAATTTCCATACCCAGCGTAAGCAGAAAGATAAAGACTGAGGCGGCTGGGTCTTGAACCCGCGACCTTCGAATTACTAGATCGACACTCTACCAACTGAGCTACACGGTCAGACGGATTTAAGACTGGAAATTATGAAATATATACTGAATGTCATAAACATACTCGTTTATATTAATTCAGCATCGAACAATACTAGTTCTGCAAGTGTTATGTTGAGTTGTGTAATTGTACACTCCGTAATGGGTATGGAAATTATATAATACACTCGAGAACATTTTCACCTTAACATATTACGGAGTGTACAATTACACAACTCAACATATATATATATATATATATATATATATATATATATATATATATATATATATATATATATATATATATATATATATATATTTATAATATAGTCATCCACCGTATATGAGCTGTTCTGCAATCTAATTGGTTGAATTCCTCGCCGTATATATAGCTCATATACGGCGAGTAGCGAAAAACAAGATGGCGGTCCAAAAACTACATGAGTTTTGCGAAGCAGAAAAAGGAAAATATTCGCTTTGAGAAACATAATAGTACATGGAAAAACTCTCAAAAAAAATTGACAGGTTAGAAAAATACATTTATTACGTATAGAAATTAGTTTAAATAAAGTTTTTTAAAGAATTAATACCGAAACAATTAATACCGAACAATTTATATTGAGAATATAAATTGTTCAGAAAAGTTTGCCGATGAACGACAAATGAATTTACAGTCAACAAGCACTTACTATAGTACCAAACATCTGCATAATATATCTGAGCTTTCCTGTGAGATATAGAGGTTATAAAACCATTTCTTTCACCTCGTCTTCGAGTTGTAAAACAAAAGTATTTCAAATTTTCAAGCGGTTTTTGGACGAACAAATTGTCAACACATTGTGACAGTGAATAATTAATTACTGCTTCAGTTAAAGAATGTGTGCCAACCGGCATGCACTGCGCGCTTCATTTGCTCTGGCGGCCATTTTTTTGGCAGAGAAATTCACGAGAACATTGTATTGCGAAGTAATCATCAAATATTATTGTCCATCTTCGTATATGTTATACTATTTTTATAATTTTTGTCCATCTTCGTAATTTTTATTCATCTTCTATGTTATAATATTTTTATAATTTGGCTTGTGTTATATTTGAAGCAAAAAATACCACATTTATAAAATTAATACAGTATTAAATGGCATCGCCATTGTTGCCAAAGCGCGGCAGGCCAAAACTAAGCATTGAAGTTCACCGGATTGGCCTACGAATGGACGTCTATAACGAGTGGCAGGTACAAAAAGATTTGGTTGGAATGGCTGAGAAAACCCATAGTGAATTCGCTAGTCACCTACTGCAAATGTGTGAAGAAATGAGAGTGCGTGAAAACAATCAACAATGCTCAACTCCATCGAGTCAATCCCAAGGGCAAGGTGAGTTCATTATAAATTATACGCCATGATTATTCTTCCAACACCTATGATTTTAAGGAAATGGAATCTTTGTATTGTAGTATTTGTATTTTATTCATATATGCTTGATTATTTACAGTACGAGTGGATAAATGTTGGAACAAATTTTAATTATAATACAAATATTTGTTTTTTGTTCCATCAGGTCATGTTGTCCAGTCTACGCCATCACGACTTGTTAGAAGATCACTACTTCATGAAGATATTCATCTGTCACCTATTCTGGCTGACGAATCTGAGATTGATAAGTAGATTCTAGATAGAAATAGAACTTTCCCACACCATTCCAAATATAAGCTCCCCCCCCCCGAATATAATCCCCCCCACATATTGAATATAATATCATTTTTGTTTCTTTTCATGTTTATAATTAACAATAAATACTTGGTTACCAATGTTGTCCATGTATAAGCCCCCTGTATATACTGTAAGGTGTATAAGCCCATCAAAAAACACTTACAAAATTTATATAAGCCCAGGGCTTATAATCAGGGGTTTACGGTATTCGCTCACTATTTTCAGGACAGTAGATGTTCCATGCGTCGATTTGTCCCAGTTTGGATGTTAGCAGAATTGAGAGTCTGTGCACAAGCATCAACCCTGAATTTGGAATGTTTCCTGGTAGGCTGTCATCAGAATCGGAAAGTGAGAGATCTGAATCTTCAGAAACAACAAGGTGAACATTACTTTATAGTATTATCAAGTGCATAAATTATGATACTATGACTACACTTGGAAATATCCAGAGTTAGCTACAGTAGATATAATATTTTAATACTTTTTCCATTTGTGCACTGCATTAACATATTTTTAATTTATAAACAAGCTGCTCGGATTTGCTCAGTTCAGAATATGCTATGTATGATGCTGATGAGGATGATATGGATAATTTTGAATGGTGTGACGACAGTTTTTATGACAAAGGTTTCATTGATGTTGACGATGATACTATTCAATTACACCTATGGTGTTTACACTTGCACTTGTTGTCTGTGACTTGACTTCTATTGTGATTTTCTTCTTCTGATGGATGTGAATGAGTAGATGAGTTATCAATGTTCTGAGTACATATATACCCTCATCTGAACATTCATAATTCATTCACTCTTTCACATCCATCAGAAAAAGAAAGTCGCACCTAAAATTTCAGCAAAAAGTGGAAAATATAAAAATTGTGAAGTCATGTGAAGTAATGATTTATTTATTAGACACACCAGCAAGCTAGAAAATTTCAATTCAATGCTTTTGAAATATACACCAAAGCGAGTTGGATTTCAGTAAGTAATATGTAATCGTAAATAATGTATTTACTAATGTATTTGCAACACTCACTCTTTGTCTGGTGTTAGATGATATTGTGGCCACATATGGGCATGTTGCTGTCATTGTAGCTTAATGGATTTCAAATTGAAAGTCAAGACAATTATGTCAATTTATTTATTAAACTACAACATTGTTTTAGGAATGACTCATTTATAGCAAGAACATTACTTGCAGCTATTGACCACAACAGCCATCTCTTCAGACAAGCAGCTTTGAACAGGGATGGAAAGAAGAAATACAACAAAGTGTACAGCAAGCGTTCAAAAAACTGGAGAGTGACGGCTGTATTAGAAGAGAAGACCTATGACTTCTGGCCAGCTCTAACTTCTGGCATCCTGTAGAGGAAGATTGATGACAAGGATAGTATCCTGAAAAAAGTAAAACTGTCAGCAGAGCATCCGAAAAACATATGTCATTCAATTGCTATGCAGCCTGTCCCAGCTACGCAAGAAATTGTTGATCGGGCACTATCCAGATTTGCGAAGCCTACATGAACATATATGTTCTGTATTTTTTATAATAGCCGGAGTAACAGGGTCTATTTTACAAAGAGAACCTGGCACAAACCCTAATCTAGTTGCTCTCCACCCAAAGTAAAATTTATATTTAGAGGGTGGTAAGGGATCTTTTTATTGATATGTGGCTAGGCAGGGACTTGTGTAAGGTCCTCTTCCCTCTCACCTACTGTACATTTACGTATATTTGAAAGAAAGGGAACATCAATCTCCTTCCCAGGCTCTTACTTCTTGTGGAGGAAAACTCCTGGTATGAGCTGGTCATGTGATCTGCTAAAATCTACAAGATTTTTCAAGTAGCAAAACAAGATGAGGTAAATATTGAAATGACTTGCATAGTTTAAACCATTGAGTGGCAGCGCTCTCTCCCTGACGAGTAAAATCGTCTGGCATTAGCAAAAGAAAAATAATAAAATAGGGTGCATCTGGGCGCATTGCCACATAAAGGGTTAATTTATAGGCGGTTGATTAGAAATCTGCTAGATTTTGACAGATCAGATGACTAGCTCATACCAGGATATTTAATTCACTGTCCACAAGAGGTAAGAATCTGTGAATGAAGTTGGGGAATTATGGCCTGACATCAACTTTGGCTATGATGTATATAACAATTTTAGACATTTATGCATGCATATTATATATATATTACAAATATGAAATTGAATATCCTATAAATGTTTAATTAAACTAACAATTCAAGCTCTCCTGAAACCCATATAGTTTCCATCATCAGCAGGGAAAATGTGTTGAATGATCAAGACTACACATGATGGGCACACCCTTCGATTACCCCTGCCCAATTTCTTGTACCTCCAAAGGATATACTGACAATATGCAGCCTTGCGGTAACTATTTGTTGAATAGTCAGGGTCTTCTACTCTTATGTCACATCTTGCTCTAATTGCAATCAACAAAACATCCCTGTCAGTACATGTGTTCTGGAATGTGACAAATGATGTAACACAACGAATCTTGCCACAACATTTGTTTTCTTCCTCAGTCGGCATGGCACGACAGACACCACATACACACCAGGTAGGTTTTCCATCTGGGACAGGTGGGACAGCATCACCTGTGCCGTATTTTACCGAATTCTTGGCATAATCCAGACTCCCTTTTCCATTTGACAACAAATTTAAAAGAATATTGTCTTTTTGAGCGTCGCTTAATTCCCCGATAAAGCCCTATATATATATATATATATATATAAATATATATATATATATATATATATATATATATATATATATATATATATATATATATATATATATATATATATATATATATATATATATATATATATATATATATATATATATATATATATATATATATATATAATAGATTTGAAGATTTGTAATCCAGGCATTTTATTAAATTATAATTTTTACAAAATTATACAGTGTTCTCCGGATTGTAATAATTTGTTTTGAGCTTTCGACTCGGTACTTCGAGTCTTCATCAGAAAGATTGATCATTTGAATTTTCGCGCTGTTGTTGACGTTGTTGAAGTCTGTGGGAACGTGTGATTGGTTGATGGATTTCAGTATGTTGGTTGCCATTAGTTACTATCGAATGCGGTGATTATTGTTATCATGAGACGGTGTAGGGAAGGAAGTTGAGGGTGGGTTAAAGGTTAATGAAGATGAATTAGGAGATTTGTGAGAGCGTTTTAGTGGTAAGTACATTGTAGGGATGTCAATGTGACGGTTAAATGTTAGTTTGTCTAAACTATGCCACGCTTCTTTAAACTCACGGGCATGTTTACTATATAGTTGCTTGTCCTAGGCATCTCGTTTGAGACCAGTCGAATTTGTGTCCGTTGTTGTCTGTTTGTTTAGCTGGAAGTGAGCTATGGTCGTGTCTGTTGATTGCGTTCTGGTGTTCTGTTAGTCTTGTCTGAATCTTTTTAGAAGTTTGTCCAATGTACTTATCCGGACAGTTTTTGCACGGGAAGATATAAATGGCGTTATGTTTATCCGTTATACGTGTCTTGTCTTTGTGTTTAGTAAAGTTGGACCTAAGTTTGCATATTGGTTTGTGTGCAACGTCAATGTTGAAAGGTCGGAGGAGTCTAGCTGCCATTTCTGATGTAGTGTGTATGTAAGGAAGTGTAATCCTCGTTTTTGTTTGGTTAAGTCGGTCCGTGTTAGTTTGTTGTTAGTTTGTTAGGTTTTTTTTCGGACCGACTTAACCAAACAAAAACGAGGATTACACTTCCTTACATACACACTACATCAGAAATGGCAGCTAGACTCCTCCGACCTTTCAACATTGACGTTGCACACAAACCAACATGCAAACTTAGGTCCAACTTCACTAAACACAAAGACAAGACACATATAACGGATAAACATAACGCCATTTATATCTTTCCATGCAAAAACTGTACGGATAAGTACATTGGACAAACTTCTAAAAAGATTCAGACAAGACTAACAGAACAACAGAACGCAATCAACAGACACGACCATAGCTCACTTCCAGCTAAACACACAGACGACAACGGGCGCAAATTCGACTGGTCTCAAACGAGATGCCTAGGACAAGCAACTACTAAACATTCCCGTGAGTTTAAAGAAGCGTGGCATAGTTTAGACAAACAAACATTTAACCGTCACATTGACATCCCTACAATGTACTTACAACTGAAACGCTCTCACAAATCTCCTAATTCATCTTCATTAACAGTAGGACACACCAATTTCGGCTGTCACTTCTCTCCAGTTATTTGGCGGAACCTCTGAGTTTATTAAACATTGAATGAAGACCCAGTATAATTGCACCAGGTTCCTCGCGTAAAAATAATGTAATAAACCTTGAAATGACAGAAAGATTGTGAAAATTAAATTCATTGCCAAATAATAATAAATAGGGACTTGCTGTGCGGCTTCACGGATAAAACAATTTTGACAATTACCACCCCACCACGTATATTTGGTGAATTATATATCTTTGATTTAGTGTACTAGAAAGGACATCTTACATCGATACAATCGAGTATAGACTGTAATTAGGCTGAGTAAAAGGCCATATAGCGACAGGATTAAGGTTGTATTAGGTTGCATTTGTTGATTGGATCAATCCTATATGACTCGATCGTTCAAATATTTGATAGGTTAGACTAGTCTTCATCTACTGTACCTAATACAAGTTAGAAATGCTTGTTCAAACTCTCAAATTTAGAATGGATCGAATTCCAAGTAATTGGAGATGGTTTCTACTCCGATCCATTCTCATTGTTGGAATAATTCAATCAGTATCATAATTAGGTACATATACAGTAGTCCTAATTGTTTCAAGATTTCCCGGACTAACACTGCCAATAAGTTTTCTATTAAAATTTCGCTCGATACTCTGGTTTGAACTTGCTGTATACTTAACCGGGATCGATTGAACGTCTCAATCATTTCCTGGAGAAGAATATCAATAGCAGTGCGTAGCCCATTCGTCAATCTTTGTCTCTAGATATTAAATTACTCTTTCTCGACCACGCCTGTTTCGCATACATTACGATCCAATTTTTCTAATATAAATATCTTGGCGAGTATTCCTCTCCCCGTCCTTTTAAATAAAAGCCACCATTGCAATTCTCACAAAATAATTAACCTTTCGAACGGGGGTCAAGTGCCGTCAAAACATTACACAAACCGAAACAATCGTATATTTACTCACCGCTTGGCCAAAGATTCTAAATTTCACATCCAGCAAATCTTGAATATTTCTTGAACTGTTCGTCATAGTCTGAACGGCTATACATGTAAAATACTTTTTGTATTCAAGCGCTTTCGTGTACAAAATTTTGTTTGAATACGGCGAGTAGAAAAATTAATTTTGAATTTTTCAAGTTGTCGGGTTTTACTCGCACCCACGTACATTGCGCAATAATTGGCCAATAAGAAGCTCCTGAGGCCGGGATGACGTCAAACTCGCGCGTGTAGGTGCAATATGACCTGTAGAAAATCCATTTCTGACATTCGCAAGGTCATACGATACAAACGTCGCATTGTTTTGACGGTTTTCAGTCGTATTTCCGGTTGGTGCCAAGCCAATCTCGTACACACAGCCATGTACCCTGACTGGGCACGAGCACCGTATAAGCGCAATCATAACTACGACAGCGGTTCGCTAGTTTGACGTGCTTATGTTTACTGCAATATAAACAACGTATAAAAGAGGCTGTTCTCACCTGTTGCAACATCAACGCAAGTTGTTGTTTTTTTTTTCTGTGTTGGTGTAGTGTACTCAGGTGAATATAATATTTGTGGTGTTACTCTGAGTGTATATCCACACCGGGTGAGCTTGAAAAATATGCGCGGCCACGGTGGGATTCGAACCTACGACCTTTGGAATACTAGCCCAATGCTCTTCCAACTGAGCTACGCGGTCAGGACGGTTCGAGTAAGTGATATTTCGGAACAGAATCTAGTTCCTAGTAGCTCAGTTGGAAGAGCATTGGGCTAGTATTCCAAAGGTCGTAGGTTCGAATCCCACCGTGGCCGCGCATATTTTTCAAGCTCGCCCGGTGTGGATATACACTCAGAGTAACACCACAAATATCAACGCAAGTGTTAGATGAATAATTTAGGACTACATTATAAGTAGAGCATTGCTGATCAGATTGATCGCGGGCGCATATGAAACGGCATGGTTTTTGTATTCTAAAATATAATATAGTTTTGGGCTAGTTTCCCTTATAAAAAAGAATTATTAAAGAGATATAAACCAACGTTTGTCTTATTTTGCCGGCTAAAATATATCAAGAAGAATCCGACGTGTAACATTTTGGGGGCTCAGACGGAAATATTACAGCAAAATTCAAGGAGAAAAGGCGATCGCATTATCGCAAGAGAGGATCCGAGTATTTTCACTAATATTTGTAGTGAGTATATGAATGTGGAATTGTTTATATGAGGCGAACACTGGCGTTTCCTCGATGAAGTGTTTGTATTTCTACGAAGCATTGACTGAACTTGTTTAAGCTTGCAATTGTGAAATGGACTTGTGTGCTTACAGTATATTATCCACTTTAACTTGGTTACTTGAAGCATTGGTGTGATAATATGGACTGAACTTGTTCAAAACTTGCAATTGGAAATGTGACTGAAAGGGACTTGTGTGCTTATATTATCCATTTGAACTTGATTACTTGAAGTTTGGTGTGATAATTTAAAACTGTGACATTGATTAAAAGTCAAAATGGCTGACTCAGAGTTTGAAGAAATGTTATTGGAATTGGAATTGGAGTCGGAAATACTTGCATTAAAGTTGGATGACATTTTGAAGTTAGCACAAAATATAAAAGTAGATGAATCTAATGTTCAAGGTAAGAGTAGATTTATGATTCTAAAGGCTATTCGGGAAGCTATAGAAGAGGCAGTGGGAAAGCTAACTGAGAAAACAGAATGTGTGAAATATATAGAAAGTATTAAAGTATTTCTTGGTCCACCCCCGCTCGGAGAGCCGGACGATCAAGGGGAAGGAACCCGGAAAGAAGCGGAAGTTTTAGAAGTGGGACCCTGGGAAAAATCAGAAGTTGTAGAATTGGAAGAGAAGATACAGGAATTGTTGAGTAAACTAAAAGAAATCAAACAAAAGGCTCAAGAGAAAAATGGAACAGGTGTTAGTAAGAAAGGTTCTGTTCAACCAGAAAATGTTATAAAAGTACCATTGGCAAATCTTGAAAAGAGTCTGCTACACCGAGATTTTAAGATGCAAAGTGCAGTTGGGGAACCCGGGCAGAAAGATAAGTTGGGGTATCAATCATTAGTTTTCCAAATTGAAGCGGGTGTTAGAAAACAATACTCTGAACTAGAAATTGTTAAAGCGGTAGTTCGAGCAGTCTTACCAGGACTTCAGTTAAGGAGTTATTTGGAAAGCGTTACGGACCTAACATTATTTATTTATTTATTTATTATTTATTTATTTATTGAATTTGTCACCATACAAAAAAAAGATTACATTGACGAAGATAAATATGTGACAGGAGAACGGAACAGCCCTTACAATATACACAATATACTATTTGTCTTTACTCAACAATATATACGTTATACTTTTGTATACATTTATATACATATACACATATTTGGAAACGACTAACATGACAAAAAGAAGTTCAGGAATGACTATATTTAGCCGGAACAACCAGGAGGACTGTATGTTGATAACTTTGTAATGTACAAGTTAATTAGGGTAGACTTGAATGCAGGTAACGAGTTAATAATAACATTTAATATCCATCTTAGGTTAAAAAAGTACAATGGATTTACAAGAAGTGCTAAGGTTAAAATTGATAAGAAGAAATTTTACTATTATTTACATCAATGTTGCTAAAAATGTTTATACTAATTATATATTCTATAAAATTAATTTAGGACTGTTTTAAAAGGGATATAGCTCTAGGTATAAAGGATTGCCGGTGTCTTTTAGTATACGATACAACATATGGTAGATTATTTGTTGTTCTTAGATCGTGTTCATGGGTAAAAGGTTGGGGGATAAGTTTATTACATGGGTTGGTCGGATCACTTAGAATTCTTTGGTATTCCTTAACAGTTAGGTGTGCCCTTCTTTGTTCTAGCGTTTCAAAGTTGCACCCAGATGTGCCGAGGATTTTGATGCATCTGTTTTGAATGCTCTCTATTTCATCAATGAGATATTGTGATAAACCACCCCATAGCGGAGCTTCATATTCTAAAACAGGTCTAATCTTGGATTCATAACATGTAATACCGACCTCAGGAGGAAGATTCGCCCTACGGCATTCTCTCAGACTAAACATTCGTTTATTTGCTCTCCTTACAATGTTCTTGACATGACAGTTCCATTTCAAATTGTTTTGATGCCAGACACCCAACAGTTTATGAGAATTTACTCTTTCCACTACCTCGTTTCCAATGACCAATGGTTCTGGTGCCGGTATTGTTGTGTTAAAACATATCCACATATCTTTTGTTTTCTTCGAATTTATCGTCATTTTGTTCCTATTAGACCATTCTTGTACTGCTTCAAGGGCCTCCTGCATATGGCTGGATGAACCTTGCGACACCACTTCGTCCTGTGTACAATCATCCGCGTATTTGCATATGTTTATGGACAATCCATCTGGGATTGAGTTCTCAATATCGTTAATGTGAATATTAAAAAGAGCGGGGGACATCACAGAACCTTGTGGGACTCCTGCAGGACAAGGTTTGACCGATGATAGGGTTTCTGCTAGTTTGACCTGTTGTCTTCTATCTTCCAGAAAACTACGTGTCCATAGCCGAAAGGCTTTGGTTACATTCATTTCTGCGAGCTTACGAAGTAGAATTCCGTGGTCAACAAGGTCAAACGCTTTGCGAAAATCTATGAATAGTGCATGAACTCCATTTTTGGCGCTATGAGTATTGTCGGTCACATTAAACCAGTTCTGCGAGATGTTGGTGAGTGCGGAAACGGTTGATCGTTTGCTTGTAAAGGCATGCTGATTATCATTTATGAATTTTATCACGTGAACTGGGAAGGTTCAGTTTGAGCTGCAGCTTTTCCAGCACTTTAGCAATTTGGGGAAGAATGGATATCTGGCGAAAGTCATTCTCGATATCTCTTGGTGGATTGACCTTCGGAACTGGGATAACTAAGGCGTGTTTATACGCAGTTGGATATTCACATTCTTTTATACTGGCGCAAATAATGTCATGAACGATGGGCGCTAGTTCTTCACAGTATCGTTTAAGCACCCATGCTGGAATCCCATCGGACCCGGTGGCTTTTTTAGAGTTTAGTTGTTTCAAGGCAGTCTTAACCTGTCCAATTGAGGAAGTAGGAGCATTTTCTTGCCTCAGTGATGACGCTACGTCTTCAAGACTAGGGATTATGGTTTCAGGAAGTTTTGACCATGGTTTAGTAGTAGAATTTAAGGTAGGAGGGCAGACAGTTCCATAGTTCGGCTGATCTAATAAAAACCGATTTTCTGTAATAATCCTGTTTATGTTTAATAATTAGATTGTAGTTGTTAAATAAATATCATAATTCCGAGATCTATATTTTGGCTGGAAAGTACAAAGGAAATCATTGACATCAGTGAAAACCAGCTCTGGATTTAAAAAGAAGCATCAAATCGGCAATTTCTCTGCGAAATTCACGGGGAAGAAGATTGGTTTTGGCAAGTCTCTGTATATATGACATATCCGGAGTATAGTTTAGTAGATAGATAGATAGATAGATAGATTTTATTTTGACACGCTAACTACGTCAATTAAAAACATTGATTTCCACGAAGGGCGTGTGTTCAAAAGTTATTATATATAAATGTTGTTATGACTCTTATGGAATCAAATAAAAGAAAATAGAAATAATCTAACTGTTCCAATTGACAAAATTGACAATATAGACAACTAACAAAACATATAGATAACTATTTACAATAAAGGATATATATATGTATGTATAAATATATTATTTAGAAACATGAGCAGCAATTTTTCTTTCAAATAGAGACTGGGACCTAATTCCTCTGATTTCTTTAGGCACTGAGTTCCATATTTTTGCCCCATTAAACATAAAACTCTTTTTCATGCTATTTGTGCGGGGCTGTGGCAAAACGAGTGTTGTTTCATTGTCACGGAGACAGTAATGCGTATTCTCATTCTTTTAGGTAAAAAGGTCTGTTAGGCTTTTAGGCCCAGACATATTCAAAATTTTGAACATTAATTTTGCCTTAGCTTTAGTTCTTTGTACTTTTAGTGTCTCCCATCCTAACGAATTTAATGCGATTTGGGCATTAACTTCGTTACCCATGTCCATAATAATTCGAGCGCATCTATTTTGAAGCTTTTGTAATCGTTGTGATTGAGTTTCACCAAAAATGTCCCACACTTCACAACAATAAGTAAAGTATGGTTGTACAATTGCGTTAAATATAGAAACAAGTGTATCACGGTCAACAAATTCTTTTAGTTTTCTAATAACAGAAATGGCCGATGTGATTTTCTTACAGATACTCTCAGTGTTACTTTTCCAAGAGAGATGCTGATCAACTATTACTCCTAGTGTCTTGCATTCCTTCACTTGTTTAATTGGTCTGTTTTCAATCATTATGTTTAAATTTGAATCTGAAACAGTATGCACTAGAGATCTTGATCCTATGAGCATAAATTCAGTTTTGGCAATGTCTAGACTCAGTTTGTTCGCGTTTAACCACATTCTGAGGTTTTCCAAATCAAAGTTCACTGCATTTTCAACATCATCAATTGTACCACCGGAAGCAGTGAGGTTTGTGTCATCTGCAAAAAGTCTTGGCTTTGTCCTATTTAGGCTTTCAGATAAATCATTTATATATATTAGGAAAAATAAAGGACCTAAAATGGAGCCTTGAGGAACACCACACTTTACTTTGTGTTCAGACGAGACAACACCATTTACTTGGCATTTTTGGGTGCGATCAGTAAGATATGATCTCAGCAACAAATGTGCCTTATCCTTAATACCGTAAATTTGCATTTTCTCAAGTAGAATTTCGTGATCTACGGTGTCAAATGCTTTTTTTAGATCTATAAAAACTACTAAGTTAAACATTTTTCGATCCATGTTAACATACCAACTATTAGTTAAATCTAAAAGGGACGTAGCGGTGGAGTGAAACTTTCGAAAGCCAAATTGGTTATCAGAGAGAATTTCGTTTTTAGTTAAATAATCATACAGCTGGTCATACAGTAATCTTTCCATGATTTTGCTTATGACTGGTAGTATCGATATTGGCCTGTAATTACCAGGAATATTACGATGACCACTTTTATAAAGAGGTAAAACTCTAGCTACTTTCCATTCATCTGGAAAGTTGCAAAGAGTAATACTTTGATTAAAATATATGTAAGTGTAGCAGAAATAACTGGTGATGCTAATTTAAGAATTTTACTGGAAATTTTGTCAATACCACATGCTTTTTTACAAGACAGCCCTCTTAAAAAATCAAAAATTTTGTTTACCGCAATTGGTGTAAATGCAGTGAACTTGGATTCAGAACTTTTAGTATACTTTTGAAAGTCACAGCTAGATTCATCCAACTTGCTTGCCAAGTTTGGTCCAACATTTGCAAAGAATTCATTTAACCCTTCTGCAATCTCTGTAGGATTTGTTAATTTAGATTCATTAATAATTAGTTCATTTATAATCGTGGGTTTCTTACCTTTTCCGATCAAACTATTAATAGTTTTCCAAGCCTGCTTTGGATTGCACTTTTGGTTAGCAATCTTTTTAGAATAATAGTCTGTTTTGGCTTTCCTTAATTCGGTATTTGTTTGATTTCTGGATTTTTTATAAATGAGCCAATCAGATTCTTGTTTAGTAATAATTGCTTTTCTTTTCAATTTATCTCTTTCGGTTATGAGCATTTTAATTTTGCTTGTAAACCAAGGGACACTTTTTGATTTTATCTTTTTGTTTTGAAGTGGTGCATGCTTATCCAGGACCTCTAAAAAGACTTTTTTCCACATCTCCCACATAGTATTTGGATTATCTGGAAAATAATAAATATGATCCCAGGGTTGATTTTGCAAATCCTTAAGAAAATTTAGATCATTGAATTTCTTCATGTTTCTAATTTCAACAATATTGACATGACGTTTTACTGAAAAATTTATTTTTCTTATTGCGAAAATCATGCTATGATCACTAATTCCAGTATGTATTACCCCAGAGTCAGAAATTTTCTCTGGTCTATTTGTAATAAAATGATCAATAAGGGTGGATGTTGATGATGTTATACGGGTAGCTTCATCAATCATTTGTGACAATTGATAAAGTTCATATATGGATTTGAGTTTTTTAGTTAATTGGTCTGGATTTGTCTTAAGTAAATCACAGTTTAAATCACCAAGAATGTGAATTTCTTTGTTTTTAATGAGATTTTCTATTTTTTTAATGAGACTTTCTAAATCGGTAAAAAATTCGGATGACGGATTTGGAGGTCTATAAGCTATAAATTTATATAAATTTATATAAATTTATATAAATTTATATAAATTTATAGTATAAATTTATATAAATTTATAGTATAAATTTAGTGGCCCGCCGCTGGACGTTTTCAATAAAGGAACGATACTTACAGTGACTGTATACGGTGTATACGGTGACCATAAACTACTGGCGTACTCAAGTTTAGGCCGCACAAGAGCACAGCGCAACAATTTTCTGACTTTCAGCCCTTTTAACTAGACCGAGCGTTTTATTAGCTTTGGCCACAATAGTTTCAATATACATTGACCACGACAAATCATTTGACACAGTGACACCAAGATCCATAATGAAAGGAACACAATCCAACGACTGATTATCAATGGTGTACACTGCTTCTCTCATCAATGACTTCTTTTTGGAGATATTCATTACCTTGCATTTACACTTATTAAATGCTATTCCCCAGTCCAAACTCCACCTTTGCAAGCGGTCGAGGTCACTCTGAAGATTGTAACTGGAGGTTGAATCGAGAATGGGTTTGAACAGCTTGGAATCGTCAGCAAACAAAGCAATTGTTGAGTTGTACTGAATGTAGTTATTGCACATCATTGACGTATAAAACAAACAACAATGGACCGAGTATAGAACCTTGTGGTACACCAGACGTGACAAGAAGCCAGTCAGAGAATTATCCGTCTAGAGCAACTCTTTGGTACCTATCTGTGAGGTAACTACCAAACCAAGAAAGAAGAGATTCGTTGATACCATGATGCTTTAGTTTGCGTAATAACAAGTTGTGAGGGACTTTATCAAAGGCTTTTGATAAGTCAAGATAGATTACATCAACTTTGTTACGGGATACGACGGCGTCCAGGATGTCATGGTATACTTATTTCTAATAGTTGTGTTGTTGTTGATTTCCCCTTGAGAAATCCATGTTGAAATTGATAGAAAGAAGGGGAGAGGTGATGATAACAGAGATTAAAAACGCAACGTTCCAATACTTTGGAGATAACACAAAGCAAAGAGATTGGTCTGTAGTTCGATGTTATGGTGGGATAATCTTTTTTAGAAACAGGAGTAATATTGGCACACTTCCACTTAGCAGGTACCACTCCAATAGAGAGAGACATATTGAAAAGAATACAAAGTGAAGGAGCAATCTCATCGGCGACCTTGGACAGAATTCTGCTCGGAACATCATCTAGTCCACACGCTTTATTGGGGGTCTAAATTACGAAGCACCGCAGCAACTTCAGAGACTGTAAGATCAATATCAGAGAGTTTGTTACAAGAAGATTCCATTGAAGTAGATAGCGTTGAAGGTGGATCTACGTTGCCAGGGCTAAAAACGGACTGGAAAAATTTGTTGAATAAATTTGCTTTAATGCGGCTGTAGGTCGTAAAGGATTCTCCATTTCGAATAAAATTTGGGCTCTGATTTATTTTGGTCGAAGATTTTAGAAGTGACCAGAAACGTTTGGGACTTTCAAACATTGACTCTTTTAGTTTATTGGCGTGATCACATTTTTCTTGGAGATAAGCTTTTTTGTTTCACGTCGGATTAACCTAAATATTTCTAAGTCATCGGGGTGTTTTGTCCTTAGGAGCTTTTTTCTTCGCTTGTTTTTCTTTTTAATGAGCTCCAGCAACTCTTTATCGATGAGAAGAGTGAAGATTCCATTATCATGAGAAGAGTGCAACCGAACTCTATCAAATGTTTGCTAACATTACCCAACAACCAAAAGAGGATCCAGAATCTTTTCTCATTCGAACTCAGACCATTCGCCAAAAGATCATTTTTGCCTCAAAAGAGTCGGGAAATAATATAACCTATGATCAGAGCTCAGTGCAAGGATTATTTCTGCATGCCCTTGAGACAGGGCTTATTGATGAGACAATCCGAGCGAAGATGAGATCAACCCTCCAGAATCCTCTGGTCACCGATTAGGATCTGATTGAAGCCATGAACATGGCTATGTCCGCAGAAACCGAGAGAGTAATCAAATTCAGTTTGTCGGGCAGAAATTTAGCAAGCATATCAACAGTGGAGATGATGTCTGAAAAAAAAAACAAGGAAAAGAGAGAGGAGGGACGAGTATTCGCTGTGCTGAAGGCTGTTCAATCCGACATGGCGACAATGCAAAGCGAGATAAAGTTTCTCCGTGATGCAGCAAGCAAGGTGCCTGAACCGGGGGATGACATGCGAAACAACGTGGCGACGAAGCCTAGTCGACCGAATCGTGGATGTAAAGAATGTGAAGAGAAAGGTTTGTCGGATATGTGTAGTGACTGTTTTCTTTGTGGTGGGGCCAATCATATAGCCAGATATTGCAACACGAAGTTCAGAAATCAGGAAAATCACAAAGGGCTGCCCCCGAGGGACAAGGTGTAGACTTATCAAAGACAGAAAGGAAGTGCCACATTTGTAATTCCTGTTTGAAGAAAGAAAGTAGGTCAAATGAATTTCAAATATGTTCGATATGTAAAATTGTGCATTATTGTTCAAAGGATTTCCAGAGGGAACATTGGGTTGAACATAAGACTCTCTGTACATCCATCAAGAACTTCTCAACAACTGCAGGTACAATACCTGGTTTGGGAGATTCCGCAGATACGAACATGTTTGTCAGTTATCTCACCCCAAAACAGAGAGATACCGTAGTTAAGCCTGTTGGGGAAAAGTGTCAAGTCAAATGCCAACTAAATGTTAAAGAAACTGAGATGCGTTGGGACACAGGAGCCCAGGTCTCAATTCTACCTGAGAGAATTTTGAAGGACATGTTCCCAGACATTCCGGTTGAGGACATACACGGGATTTGGGGGCTGGATCAGATCTAAGGCTAGAAGCAGCCAATGGAACACAAATTCCGTAAAACGGGTGGGTAGGAGTAAATTTTAAGCTCCTTAACAATTCAGCAAAAGAAGTCCCAGTACCATTTTTGGTCAAAATGAAGACCTTAACTGTCCCATAATTGGTTACAACGTAATTGAACTTTTTGTGAAGGATAATGACCCAGAATCGGCATTGGTCGCTGTTGCAGAAAGTTTTGACAATGTCAGTAACGCAGAGGTAAGTGCCCTAGTTAATTTTATGAACAGCGATCTAAGCGAAAGTCTTTGCGCAGTTCGAACATCGAAAAAGAAAGTTGTTATCTTTAGTGGCCAGACCATAAATATTTCATGCCGTGCAAACACTGGACCAATAAGACGAAACAGCCCTGCATTATTTGAGCCAGATGAACAAACCCACATGCCAATAGGTCTAACAGTTCAAGAGGCTCTGACCACAGTGAAACAAGGGAAGTCTAGCTTAATAGATATTCCAGTAACTAACACAACACAGCACGATATTGTCTTACCCGATAGACTAGTCCTGGCAACCTACAATTGGTTCGCTCGGTTACTCCACTTGGAGTCAAATTATAGAAGGAAGAACTGGGAGAGCAGCCAGGCAACATAGAGACAGAGATTGAGTCAATTCCAACAAACCATCATCCCTGAAAAGTGAAGAACCCAGACTACCAGATGTAGACTTAAGTGGGCTTACACCTGAACAAAGACGAAAGGCAACGAAGATGTTGTACGAGGAAGCTGATGCATTTGCCATGGATGACCAAGATGCTGGGTGTATTGAGGGACTTCAAATGAACATTCACTTAACTGATGATCAACCAATCCAGAAGAACTATTTGTCAATTTCCAGACCTCTGTATCCCGAAATAAAGACTTATGTAGAGGACCTATTGAATAGAAATTTTATACGGAAATCGAAATTACCGTTTTCCAGCAGTGTGGTATGTGTTAGAAAAAAAGACGGTGGGTTACGATTGTGTGTGGATTATCGAGCTTTAAACCAGAAAACTGTAGCTGACATACACCCTATTCCACGTAGTCAAGAGACACTAGACAACCTGGGAGGAAACCATTGGTTCAGTGTCCTCGACCAGGGGAAGACTTACCATCAAGGTTTCATGGACAGAGATAGTCAGCCTTTTACAGCCTTTATAACCCCCTGGGGCTTGTATGAGTGGACCAGAATACCGTTTGGGCTAATGAACGCACCCGCCAACTTCCAGAGATTTATGAAGAACTATTTGGGAGACCTTCGAAGCAAAATTTGTATACCATACTTGGACGACGTTATTGTTTTCTCCAAGACCTTCAAGGAACATGTGCAACAGCTACAGGAAGGTCTTCAACGGTTAAAGAGTCATGGGGTTAAACTTAAGCCAAAAAAGTGTAACCTGTTTAAGAACGAGGTGTAATTCCTGGGTCGAATCGTATCAGCTAATGGTATCAGATGGACCCCAAGGCGACTGCAGCTGTTGAAAAGCTTAAATGAGTCATTCCAAAGACCGTAGCAGAAGTGCGAAAGATAATGGGTCTGCTTGGTGTGTATCGACGGTCGATCGAGAACTTTTCGAAGATTGTCAAGCCGTTTAACAAGTCGTATAATATACGACCTGTTAGATAGGGACACATTTCCACCGAAGATGTCAACAGCAAGCAGAAACAACCACAACAAGTATGGCAATCATCAGTTACCATCCAAATCACTGATACAGTGGAATCCTGAACATTCCAGTGCCTTAGAAATTCTCATTGAAAGGATAACTTCTCCACCTATCCTCGCCTATCCACAATACAACGATCCATTCCTTGTACATACTGACGCTTCGCAAGACGGTCTCGTTGCTGTTCTCTACCAGAGACAACCAGGCATATTGAGAGTCATCGCATATGCATCCAGGACATTGACCCCTGCAGAAAAAAATTATCATCTTTATTCTGGGTAACTATAATTCCTCGCATTAAAGTGGTCAAAAACCGAACAGTTTCGCGACTACCTGTATTATTCACCAAAGTTTACAGTCTTTACCGATCGATAACAATCCTCTTACCTATATCCTCACGACTGCCAAGCTTAACGCTACCGGTCTGTGTTGGGTTAATGAACCCTCCGACTTCAACTTCGATATCAAGTATCGTCCTGGTCGCAGCAATACAGACGCTGATAGTTTATCCAGGTTGCCTGGATACCTCGAAGAGTATATGGCATCGTGTACCCAAACAATATCGCAGAAAGAACTTGATACGTCCATCACTTCCCTTCCTTCACCACAGATAAAAACATGTTGGGTGACGTCGGGGCTTTCCTTCCTTCCAATGCCAGTTGTACTCACATCAGAGTAATTGACACAGCACGAGAACAAGACAACGATCAAGACGTCAAACGTGTAAAAAAGTTTATCCGATCTCAACAAATTCCAACACCTAAAGAGCGAAAAGGTGAGACACAAGAGGTGAAACGATTTCTGTTCGAATATTAGCAAACCTCCGAATTGACCATAGTTCTGGTATTCTATTCCACCGATCACAAGTGTTCTACCAAAAAAGATGCGTCGTACAGTGTACAAGGGACTGCACGAAGACATGGGGCATCTTGGATTGGAAAGGGTTCTTGCTCTTGCCAGAGATCGTTTTTACTGGCCGTATATGAGACGAGATATAGAACATTTCGTTACTCGTGTTTGCCACTGTTTAAAGAACAAGAGTCCCACACTCCCAACTCGTGAACCCCTCCATTCCATAGTTACGACTTTTCCCTTCCAACTGATTGCCGTCGACTATGTTCACCTTGAGCGCAGTTCTGGAGGATATGAGTACATTTTAGTGATCGTGGACCATTTTACGAGATACGCTCAAGCATATGCCACAAAAAACAAATCAGGTGCAACAGCCGCGGAGAAGATTTTTAATGACTTTGTTCCTAGATTCGGATTCCCGGAGAAGATCCACCATGATATGGGGAAAAAAGTTCGAAAACAACCTATTCAAGCAGTTAGAGAAATTGTCTGGCCAGAACCACTCCTTGTCATCCTCGGAGGAATGGTCAAGTCGAGCGAATGAATAGAACTTTGCTTGGAATGCTCCGGACTCTGCCAGAAACTCTCAAGACAAAGTGGAAAGACCATCTGTCTAAACTTGTCCATGCATATAATTGCACTCGCCACGAAGCCACTGGCTACGCCTCTTTCTTTCTCCTGTTTGGCCGCTATCCACGACTACCCATTGATCTAGCGTTCAACCTGAAAGATAAAGATGGCACCACCACCTACTCGCAGTATGTCTCGAAGTGGCAAACAGAATGAAGGAAGCATATGCCAAAGTTTCAAACCTAGCATCGAAGAACGCCTCGCGAGGTAAAAAGCAGTACGACAGGAAAGTCCGATCGACAGTTCTTCAACCTGGAGACCGGATTTTAGTACGGAATTTGACACCAAGAGGAGGCCCGGGGAAGTTGCGGTCTTTCTGGGAGAATGAGGTACACGTTGTATTATCAACGAAAGGCCCAGACAGCCCGGTATATAACGTCCAATCGGAGTCCAAGAAGAAACCTCGTACGTTACATTGTAATATGCTACTTGCCTGTGACTATTTGTCTACCAAATTGGCCGTGACAGCGCCTAGACAACGTCGCGACCAGGATCGTTTATCTACTCGTAATACATCTATTGATGACAATTCATCAGATGACGAGGGAGAGTACCTTTCAGTTTCATACCGCATGCCATTAACTGTCCACTCGAAGCACGATTTATATCCGATGGAGAACAATCGCTGGAGCTACAAGTGCAGGTCGAGGACAACGTATGAGAGTGGTAATATCCTACCCACTGAGGACGAACCTGAGGAACCTTTCGAGATACAAGGAGAAACAATGAAGAAATTTCGGAACAGCTGAATGAACATGTACCTGTACCTGATGGGGGCAGGAAGCCCTTCCGCCTACTAATAGCCCTCCACCAAGAAACCGACAAGCACCACAACGACTCACCTATTACGCTCCAGGACATTGGGCCTGTTGTTATTGTGGAGCAGTGATTCTGCCATTCAACCATCGAACGCCCCAACTCCCCTACCTTCCACCAGAGACAAGGCCTTACCGCCAACCTCTGCTGCAACCCTGCGAAGTCCCAAAACCTTTCCAAGTACCAACACCTTTCCAAGTACCACCACCCTTCCAATAACCACCACCTTTCCAAATACCACCACCTTTCCAAATACCACCAACAAATCAGATTCCACAACCCTATCAGCCCCCACAACCTTTCCAAATACCACCACCTTTCCCAATATCACCAACATATCAGATCCCAAAACCCTACCAACTCCCACAACCTGAGGTTTACAACTATCCCACATTCCCACTTCGATAGAATAGTGACAATGAGTTAATTAAGTTTATTTTGTTAAAAAGAGAAAACAACATTTGGTTTAGCTATAGATTCAATTGTAAGGATTTTACAATCCTCGTAGAAGTACCGAAGATACTTAATAAAAGAAGAGAAAAGAAGAAAACAAAAGATTTGACATTGGGAGGGCTTGATCAACCCAACCATTGTTTTGGAGGAACAGAACAAACGTCAGAACTGTTATGTAGTTAAGTAGTATAGTAAAGAACTGATTTAAAACAGATTCTCCGTGTTAAGGTAAATCAAAATGTCAAGGATGCCATTTATTTCAGGAGGGTGAGATGAATAATTTAGGACTACATGAAGTAGAGCATTGCTGATCAGATTGATCGCGGGCGCATATGATACGGCATGGTTTTTGTATTCTAAAATATAATATAGTTTTGGGCTAGTTTCCCTCATTATTAAAGAGAGGTAAACCAACGTTTGTTTTATTTTGCTGGTTAAAATATATCAAGAAGAACTCGTATAACACAAGCACAAGAATAATAATAATAATAATAATAATAATAATAATAATAATAATAATAATAATAATTAATATTTATATTGCGCAAATTAACATGTTATAGTATATGATCAAATGCGCATCACAAAACATAATTACACTAAAATTATTCTATGCTGAATGGTTACTAACTAAAAATATAAAGAAGATTATATAGATTATATGTTACATGAAGTATTTACATTAAAGGCTTCTTCAAAATAACAAGTCTTAACTAATTTCTTATTATTTTGAAGAAGCCTTTAATGTAAATTGGTTGATATCTTATGTTTGCTCTTATGATTTGGTGTCCTCACTCGTGAATAACCTTGAATAACCTTGCTAATTTCCCGCACAGTCTAGAAATTCATTTTCAGCATGCGGAAACACGCTGATGCTAATAGTGACGTAATGCAAAAGTATCAAATAACAAATGGGATTTCCCTAAAGTTTACATGCATGAACTATAGTTAAGATTGTCGCTCCGAAAACCATCGTAATGTTAGCATGTTCAGGATTGTTAACTTCTTGGTAATATAACATTTTTACGATCATTCTGGTTGTCCTAAAGACGTATTTGAGGAAAATTTAAGGTTGGTATTTCCGTATTTGATATGTTGTTGTGAAATGTTCGCCTCAATGATACTCATGTGATCGGACAAGGAATTTGATGTAATGTCCTTACAATTTTAGTTTGTAATGTCTAATATGGATAAACGTAGGACTGCAATATTTAGTTATTAAGAATATGAAATAGATATTTGGTATAAAATTAAAATGGCTACATATACGCAATATTATGTATATACCATATTTCATTGACATGTAGCCTGTGCACATCCTGTATTACCCTAATGCACTAGTCAATTGAAACCCCAGCCACCCGACCCCCGGGAAAAAGCGGGAAAATTAACATTTTGACAATGTTAAACTTTGGTAATTTCCCCGCCATGGGGGGAATATTGACTGTTAAAGTTACCGCCCCTATGGCCCGGCACTTTGCAAATTTTCATGACTTGGGAAATGGGAAATCGTTGAAGTATAAAATGTTCACAACATGTGAAGGCAATGCTTGATCTTAAACTTTGATCCGCATCAAAAGATACTGAATAAGTCTACGTTTCGACTATTTTGCAGTCATCATCAGGAAAGTGAAAATATATTTCCTTTTTTTTTAAGAAAAACTATGAGGAAACAATGATAAAACAGACAAAAGTTTATAAAATATCTTCTCTGACTTCGAAGATTCCGCCATGTTGCCACGACGATAAACACGTTCCAGTCCACTTTCGTATCAGCCGCGCGTTAAAGTCCCGGCTATTGTCCCGGCTAATAAATTGACTTGTTATTTCCCCTGTACCCCGGGGAAAATGGTGCATTAAACCTGTGTTAATCCACGGCCATTCCCCCGTTAATTCCCCGCCCTGTCCCGGGGGTCGGGAGGCCGGGGTTTCAATTGACTAGTGCATAATTGACATGTAATGTATCAGTCAATTCCAGCGGTGGCCACAGGGCCGTAGCTAGCATGTATAGTTGGGGGGGGGGGGGGGGTGTAAGCCAAAAATTTCCGAATGACAAAAAAAAAATTCCAAATATTTCATGGTGTACGAAGCCACAAAAGTGTTTGCTATCCGGAAAAAGAAGATGCAACTTACAAACAAAAATACGCATATTGTACGCACAGACATATTACAGAAGCATACAGTGCCATAGGAAGCTCTTTTTGATTGGGGGTGGGAACGAGGGCCGAAGGCCCGAGGAAATTTTTAAATTTAGATTCTCTGAAATGCCATTTCCTAGACTTTGGGGGAAGTTTTTACAGAATTCTGATGGTCAAAAAACAGAGTTTTAGTATGATATTTGTGATGTTACTTTGAGTATGCATTCACACCGGGTGAAAAGTTTGTTTGGTCACAGTGAGGTGTCGAACCTGCGACCTTTGGGATACTAGTCAAATGCTCTGCCAACTGAGCTACGTGGTCAAGTCGGTTCGATTTCTTGATATTTTGGAACTGAATATAGTTCCTTCAATATCAGTGTAATCTATGATATGATTTTTGTGTGTGTGTCGCTGTTATATACTTAGGTGAATATGTTTGTGATGTTACTCTGAGTGTGCATCTACACCGGGCAAGCTCAAAAATTTTCTTGGCCACGGCGGAAATGAGGGAATCGAACCCGCGACCTTTGAGATACTAGCCCAATGCTCTGTCATATGCAACTGAGCTACGTGGTCAAGTCGGTTCGAGTTGTTAATAGAGTTTTAGTATGTCGAAATCTGTTACAATTTGCTTACAATTTAGTAGTACTAAATGAACAAAGGCGTATTAATTAACTTTACACTGGAGAAGTTGCAGGAAAGAGTAAGGGTAATATGATTCTTTGCGGGTTGTCATGGATAATGTAGACGCTTAGAATTAATCAATTGTCAGTATTTTAAAAGTATATTATTTAAATGATTCCTACCAGGTTCGATTCCTACCAGAGGACCTTGTGCTGCATTTTTCGCAGTCGTTCCTGGTAGGTCTTAAAATGTACTATATATTCTTACTTGGATTACAAACCCTAACATCCTAATGAAATTTTCTTATATTATTATTGCCGTAATTTTCCGAATGGCCAACCTGATTTTCCGAATATGTTAATTTTACAATATCCCCCTTGCTACGGCCCTGGGTGCCCCCTGGGGGGGGGAGGGGGTATGAAAATTTTTCGGCACAAATTTTTTGCAGGATTTGTTTATGCATTTAACTCTGCAGGATTGTTTTATGCATTTAACCTCTGCAAGAATTTTTTTTTCAAAACTATTTGCACTAACGCCAATTTACTACGTTTTTTATTATACTCGTAATCTGATTGCTTCACAGGTGTGCGATTTCAGCACGATTCGCACTGCGATTCGTGCTGAAATCGCACCTTCTTTCAACCAATCACATTAGAGTGCTGATTTCAGCCCAATCATATTTAATCATAGCATTCAAACTGAAACAGCCAATCAATTTTAAAGAAAAATGTGATATGGCAAGTGAGCAAAAACAAAAAAATTACAGATGTTTTATTTATTTATTTATTAACTTTACAACCATACATAAAATAGATTAAACCACTACATAATATGGTTGAAGGTATGGTTAACAGGACATGAATAGCCCCATGTGAAGACCAACCTCATGTCATGAATGATTTAAAATTAAGCAATTTTTTGCACATAAAAAACAAACTAGTAATATGGATAGTTACAGTGAACTATCAAAGAATTTCAAATTTTCATGTTTTACAAATAGTAACAAGCAAATTAAGAACATAATTTTCTATCAAATTGAACGTATAAAATATAAATTTAATAGCAAGACCTCATCTTGTTCGCTTATTGTTGCTATGCTACAACACTCAGGAAGGTACCGGAGGTGTGTCTTTTGCAAACAAAAACGTTTTTATACAAAAATGTTTAAGATTTCAAAATGAATATAATATAATATTAAATGAAACATGCATTAATGATTAAACATCTTTTACAATAGAAAACTTTATATATAAAACATTCATATAAAAACTTTAAATAAAAAGTTGCTGTTTGCTTGCACGATTTTTTTTTCTCTGACGTAATGACTGCAGGAATTTTTTTTCCCAGGCATTTTCCTTCGTACGAACTTTTTGGGGGAATTTTTACTCCCCCCCCCCTCCCGGGATTTCTAATTGTCCGGCGAACAATACAAGTGCCGTGGCGTAGCAAACTCGATAATTGGGGGGGGGGCAATATTCACATTTTCGTGTTCACAAACCTTAAAAACAATTGATTTCAAAAGAAATTAATGATGCAAAACACGAATATATGAATATTGCCCCCCAATTATCGAGTTTGGTACGCCACTGTATAAGTGCGAAGTACAAAAAAAAGTTCTACAACAGGATAAAAATGCTTTAATATTAATGCAACACTGTATAAATTCTCAACCCTAACGTCGGCGCATCTACTGTAGCTAGACCTATGATAATATAATGTCAACCTTTGAAAATCTTATATATCTTTACTTAAAGGTCCAGACACACTGGACGCTATTCGACAACGCGACGCGATTTTTCGATTTTCACTGACCGATAACTTTGATCCTAGTAGTTAAACTTTCTAAATATTTAGAAGCGTTATAACATTTTGAGTTATTTGGTCTAAATATCTTTTAAAATTTGCTTTATTAATTAGTTTTATTAACATTCAAAAACTAAAAAATCCAACGAAATCTGCCATGTTATAGTTCGCCAATTGCCACGATGGAAAACGTCTAAGTCCCCACCCCCGGGCTGAAAAATTTCGGCAATAGCATCACCCCCGGGATTAGGAAAGCTGCGAAGGCCTAGGGGTGGCCCGGGGGGATGGGCACTCCTGGAATTGACTGATACATAAATCATGCATGGCCGCATGTTTTAATACTTTCGAAGTTCCTATTCAAGGTAGACGTTTAATTGAATAGTGTTTCAGTACTTACTAGGCTTTGGAAGTAGGAAATCTAATCTGTTACGTGTGGGATAGACAATGATCACGTGTGTTCAGTGGGATATAGACTCCCAAGAATTAGTTAGACGGCCGCGAGGGCCGAAGGCCCGAGTGGCAGTCTAACTAATTCGAGGGAGTCTATAATCCCACTGAACACACGTGATTAGAACATGATAACCAACTTAGAACATGATCACACCCACGAGGAATGTCTGGTTTAATTATGTGTATTGTTAACAAATAATTAGTATTGTGTTCCTTTTTAATTATGATGAAATAGGTTTTTTCGGGCATTATTTTATTTTGCCGAAGGGATTTTAACTACAATGTTTGGTCTTTGTTTGGTTTTCAGGGTTTGATCGATTCGGTTTTAGGGTTTTATTAATATGTCAGTGATAGGCATAGGCGTTTTTCGAAAGCATGGACGGGCTGTTGCAGCGAAGCAATTGAAGCGATTAATGCGACGCAAGATTTCTTGCTTTCTGAACCAGTAGATATTTCAAAATATTTGGACGAAGAAGGAGAGTGTGGTAGGTTCGAAAATTGAAACGGCCGTAGACGAATATTCTTCGGTTACATTTACTTTTAAAACGACAAACGTGAAAGAGGTCGACTATTGGTTAACAAGATTTATTTTGGAAGCTAGGAGAGGGAGGATGGGAAGCCATACCCAGCAAACAGTTACTAACATTGCTACTGGGCTATTGAGACATTTCAAAAACGATCTTAAGAGGTTTCATTTGAACATCCTGGCAAAGAACGACGCCAATTTTTCATAATTTATAGAAACGCTTGGATTCAAAGATGAAAGAAATGACAAGTGCTGCCATTAGCACGACGAAATATGTGTCAGATCATTTAACGTTAGCAGAGGAAGAACTGTTCTCGTCGTCAGGCACTATTGGTTACTGAACGATACTCATTTATTATATCTCCGGCGGGCGTGCGGGCGAGCGTGTGTGTGCATGGGAGTGTTGAGTGTGTCTATTTGTGTGTGTTTGTATTTGTGTAAGGATTGTGTGAATATATACAGCTGTATTTTTGAGCTTTATATTAAATAACAATTTTTGCAGTAAACAATTTTGTCTTTGACGCCTTTAAATGTAACTCATTAGTATGCCCTATGTGGTCACTAGTAGCCTCTATACAGAGCATACTAATGAAGCTACAAAACGATAGACTCGTTAGTATACTTTATACAGGGTGTATAAAAAAAGGCTAGTCTTTGAAATTTGACACAGACGAAATATAACTACATCACAGGGAAGTTCAAATTGTGGTACTGAAAGGTGGAAAATAATGAGAACTTAGCCATGTTTCTGAGACGTTAATTCTCCTATCGAAAAACTATTCTGGGAGAACGCGTCACGCCACAGAGGAAGTGATCCCAAAGTGTTTATGGAATAGTACCTTCACAAATTACAGACTACGTATTATATAAAATTCAAATTGAATATATTACCAAAACAGGAACAATTTGATTTTTTTATATTTTTAATATTCCCTCCAATATTTTTTGCACAACTTAATTTGAAAATTTGCCCAACCTGTTGACTTTGTAATTTTTCTGTGGGGAAGCTACTCCCTTGCTCCCACCACCCTGCCTCGTACGCCTTTGACTTTAACAAATGATATATTTGAACACGCCACTAAAATAGTTTCGCTATATCGTTCTACAGACGATTGTCCAAAGATAAAGAAACCTAGTGTTGTGTGGTTTGATACAACTGTAAGTACCCAAATATATTCTTAACCAGTGCCTTTTTAACTATATATCTGGGGGGGGGGCAATTGCTCCACCAGGGAAAGAATCCCCCCCCCCCCCAGTAAACCCATTTCTGCCCCCGAAGTGCGAAGCAGAATTGCTCATGATTGCTGTCAGAATTGCAGTTGATGTACTTGATAATGAGATTATGCCTTTCCATAGCCTCCTCCACAGCCATCTTGTGTGTAATTCATATTGTTCTTCACCGAGTATTTCATAATAGCGATCGATTTCATGCAAACAATCCGATAAAATGCTAGCCTTTCCAAGCCTTGCGACTATTTCCTAGCACTCTCCTCCGCAGAGACGTTGTGTTTTGTTTTGGGAGCTTTTATTGCAAAATTGTTTTCTTAAAAATAACAATTTATGTTAAGAGCCCTCCCCCCCCCCCGCCAATCGCCACAAAAACTATTCTCTTAAAAAGTACACGTTACATGCTCGAAGCTGAAACTGATTAGGTTCGTCTCGACTGAGGAAAAAGACGATATACTGGAGGAACTTGATTTGTGAAATCTCGTTAAAGCAGTTGTAGATTTGGTTCCAAGAAGAATAGATTTAGTTTAGATTTGCATCATCATAGCATGAATATTTCTTCTCAGACTAATTATTCTGTATCGTATGAAAAAGCAACGCAATTTTGAGAATGCGGAAATGGTGTGTCATAGAACCAGCCTAGTCCCAGGCTCTCTCTCTATTCGCTGCTTTGATATATTTAAATAAGTCTTAAATGTTTTATGCCTGGGTGTGCTGTGCGGAACGCTTCGGCGAGAGAGCCTAGCAGATTTCGGTTAAATGGTCCCTGATTTCAAAAAAGTAGTCCCTGTCCTGGTTACCAAGCATACCGCATTTGTAAATAGAAAATGTTATGGAAATTTCCTTTGCGTTTATAATTAAGTCATTAGTTTTGCTCTAATGCTGTCGGAACAATGAAATAGGCTACGTTTCTAAGGCTACTAAATCTGACTCGTGTTTACTACTTGCGGGGATTAGACCACTTCCGAATTACGCTCTAGACCAACACCAGGTCGAGACTCAATGCTAAAATCAATGCTAAAACACCGTCGGGCCGTCCCCAGGAGATTTTTCAGGGGGGTGTAAGGTCATTTTAGCCGACTGACGAACGATCTTGTACCGACCACCTGCTAGCCATGGAAGCTTGTAAAATTTCCGATGGGGGTCAACTACCGAGCCATTTTTGGATTAAGGGGGCTATAGCAAACGTCGAAAGCTTGAGTTTGTCAGGCAGGTCGGGGGGAATACTCCCCCGGGAAATTTTGAAATCTGAGACCTCCCAGAGCCCCGGAAATGCAATCAAATTTACTAGTTGCTGTTAAAAAGTTTCTTAATAGACGACTCTTAGGCCCCAGTTACACGAGATCGGATTCGCATCGGAGCGAGATCAAATTTTACTGCTTCGAGGCGAATTGGCACTTAAAATTATGATAATATAACATAATTAAACAAAAACTTCATATATGAAAGTTGTAATAGCAGACAAGATTGGAAAACATCTTACTGATTGATGTCGTTCCGATACGAATCCGGTATCGTGTAACTGGGGCCTTAATCTAACATTACCCGTCATTTGTTTAATCCAACCAGAAATAGATTGAATACTTATACTAATAAGTTATAAATATATTGTTAACTGATCTGAAAGATTTCAGTATTCTTAGTTTAGAAAATCACATATGTATGTAAATTGTTGCCCCCCCCCCCTGCTCCGCGGTCCCAGAATTTACGCCCGTTGTGCTCTAAATAGAGTTTGTTCTAAATCGCCATATTTGATAATTGAGTTTTTGGCGGGAATATATTGTGTTCAGCGGTTCTACCTATCAAACATGCTACACATACTTCATTTGAGGTCTTTTGTATCGCTATGTGGTTTAACTGTCAGTCAGGGCTTGGTTTACTAACCGTTTATAATGATTATCCTGCTGAGTGAATTTCAAGCAACCAAAATTTCCGTTTCTTATATAACAGGTGAAAATCATATCGGTAGTAGTTTTATTCGTTAAAAATATTTTTCTGCCGACTGAAATAGCAGACCTGTCGACTGAAGCTTGGAATAGAATTTCTGGGGGGGAGGTGCCCCCCCCCACCCCCACACACACACACACCCCGTAGCTCCGGGCCTGAACACGGAGCCTCGTTTACAAGATAGTGTCTGTGCCAATGAAACCTAATTCGGAAGTGGTCAATTTGCGTTGGTTTATTAAAATGCTCTTGTAGTCTGGCAGTAGTGCATTGGCACGCCAACGCAAGACTCAATCAAGTTCGATTCTCTGCTAAGTCGCGTTTTTTTATTCTTATAGATTCACTTTTCGGAAATCTGATATTTTTTCTTGTCTCTGTAACGAAGTACTTCTACTCTCTTACATGTTCAATTTGTGCTGGCAAAGGGTTTTAAATCTTTCAATAAAATTTAGCCCGCTAGTTAGTAGAACGCTGAGGCACTAGGACCAAGACTGCTGGCCGAAAATATAAATTTATAGTCTGGTGATCGCGCCCACATATATCAGTAGCCGCTTCGTTCAAAATATTTGTATATCAGTACGCTATTCGTGCGCATGCACGTTATAAACTTGGAGCCCCGCACAACACACTCGCAATCTAGTAACGAGTTTAATGATGAGTTCGACCATCTACGGTTTAGAAATCTGCAACGACGTCAGAAGTTGATCAAAAGACATGGATAATTAAACTCCGACGGGCGTTTTAGACGTAGCCTCGCGCTGTTTACAATGACAAAACACAGATTTTTACGGCTGCTAGACAACGCTAGTAATTCAAGCCGCAACAAGTGCTACCTTAAATTCAGTTATATGTTCCCAATAATACAGCCCATATCTTCAACTTCTTAAAATGTATTAATAATACACAACAAGTTTTCTTTACAACCATGAGAGCATTTCTTTTGGCCGTTGTTTCGTTGCCGTACTATGCATGCTTATAGTGGGGTGGGGGTAAAAATGCCGTTTTTAGAGGCTTCTCAATGTCGTGATTCGAATTCTGGAAAGTAAATTATCGCTTTCAGAGTGGGTCTTTGGGATCGAACTTCGATCTTCCGTTAGTAGAATCCAATAAATTAGGTGTAGACTTTGTAATAGCAATGCAAATTTCCGTGATCAGTGAGATGATTGCACGACTGCAAGTACTTGCGAGATAGTTACGCAAAAACACAACAATAGTGTGCTAACACGCAACCTAAAATACAACTAAGACGAGGACTGAATGTTATTTGAAGTGTTATTTTCGCTTGTTTGATTATTGTAATATTGCGACGCGAGGAAAGCCTTCCAGCTTGCAAAGCAATTATATAGTCTAAAGTTAATGTTATTTGGAGCACTCAAACCACCTACAAAGTACAGGGTGTCATTGTTGATATATTTAGCTTGGGACGGTGCTACAATTCTTTCTCGTTTTTTACCTTATAATATCAATTTTTAGGAACAAAAATGTCCGGTATACCATGGGAAAGCGAAGAAAATCAAAACTACATTCGTGTACGTCATATTGTCATGAATGTTGCAAGAACAGAACTGAGAAAATTTTTCATACAGGAATGGAATAATCGTTACCAGGCTTCTTTTGGGGCATGGGATGAAACCAACGTAAGTGGTAATCAGTTGTTTCATCGGGAGAAAACACGAGGAAGGCCAAATAAGAACATGCTCCAGTCAAAATTTCAACACGGAGATACAAGTCAGTGGGATTGTTCTGTGCTTTTTGACGCAATTCTTTACTCCAACTCGATTGGTGCAAGCCTTACTCCAACGATAAAGACTGAAGTCGACAATCTAAGAAAATCACGAAATAGAATAACTCATGAAATTCTTGACGAAAAGCTCTCGGACATAGAGTTTCAAACCATGACAACTAGCGTTGAAAATGCATTAAATACACTGGGACTTTCAATCACAGAAGTCGTTCGAATAAGAAACCTCTACAAATCCTTTCAAGTTCTTCCTCCTAAGCCAGCTCATGAAGTCGTTTGCCGGTCTGACAAAATACATGAGATAAAACAAGACCTCAAAACCTTGCAATGCGCTAACGATGGTAAACTTACATATTTCTATATCTCTGGAAATCCTGGAAGTGGGAAATCTCAACTCGCCGGGCAAGTTTGTGAAGATATTTACAACGGTGTCAATTGGCAGACCGAAGCCACGTTTGTAATGACATTGGACGGACAAGACTTAGATTCTCTTCTCTACTCATATGAAGATTTTTGTCGTCGCCTGAATTGCAACGAAAGTGTATTGCAAAGTATATTAAATTCATCCAAGCCAACAGATGAGAAAATCAAAGACTTAAGATCGCAAATAACCACTAGAATAAAAAATTGGAAGAAGTGGTGGATTATAGTAGACAATGTGGAAAATCTCGAGCTCATTTCCCCTCTACTGCCTCAAAGAGGCGACAAAGTTTGGAATAACGGCCAAGTTATATTAACTACACAAAACACAAATTGTGTCCCACCTGACAGCTCGTTCACCAAACACATTTCACTCAGTCTCGGTATGAATGACCAAGAGTGTCGACAGCTTCTTTTCAAGTTATCAAAACCAGATGCTAATGACGTCAATGATTCTTTATTAGATGAAGTCGCAAAGAAGTTAGATCGTCAACCGCTGGCAATGGCCGCGGCTGCCGTGTATATGAGAGAAGTCATCGAATCAAAGTATCCCCCTGATTTTTCGTGGCGAGACTATTTAGGAAAGTTAGAAAAAGGTGAAAGAAAATTAACAGCAGAACGTCTTCGTGAGATAAATTCAGCGGCATATTCGTTCACCATGTCCGCGGCTGTGCTTTTAGCTGTTGAAAAATGTGCAGAAAGTAATACAATTTTAAAACACACATTCCACCTCTTCTCCTTGATATCGTTTGAACCACTGCCACTTGATCTTGTTGTAAAATACATTCAGCAGCAAGATAAAGAGCTAAAAGCAGAGGATATCTTTCCTGTAATAAAACACTGCTCGTTGTTTGTTCATGTTGGAAATGACGAGCATGATATCCGCCTACATCGAGTTGTCCATGAAGAATTTAAAGAATTTTGTCTTAGGAAAGAACCTGAAATTAACGATTTCTTCCAGTTTGGAATTCCAAATATAACAAGTGTAATTCATAATATTGTGAAAACGATGTACCACTTCGAGGGTAGGAAAGATGAAACCAAATTAATTCCCATTTAAAGGCATTTCACGCAGAAATGAACAAACTGTGTGCTGATCATGCGTTGTATTCAATAAGCTTAGATTTTGAAAAAACTGAAATTTATCAAATTTATCTGTATTTTGGGCAGACTTCACGTCGATTTTTCGAGTTCAAATTGTCTATGGAATTTCTAAAATCAAATATTGAAATTTTGGAAATCTCGAAAAATTACCTTTTTATCGCCCATACATACCAGGAACTCGGTTTATTACATAAAGATATGGGTGAATTCACAAAAGCAGAAAGTTATCTGCACCAGTCACTGGAAATCCGAGTAGAACAATTAGGACCAAACCATATTATAGTTGCTGATTCCTACAACCACCTGGGTGTTGTGTGTAAAAATAAAGGTGATCTAGAACTTGCTAAGAATTATCATCAACGGGCACTGGGAATCCGAGTAGAACAATTAGGACCAAACCATATTATAGTTTCTGATTCCTACAACAACCTGGGTGTTGTTTGTAAAAATAAAGGTGATCTAGAACTTGCTAAGAATTATCATCAACGGGCATTGGAAATCCGAGTAGAACAATTAGGACCAAACCATATTAAAGTTGCTAATCCCTACAACAACCTGGGTGTTGTGTGTCAAAATAAAGGTGATCTAGAACCTGCTAAGAATTATCATCAACGGGCACTGGAAATCCGAGTAGAACAATTAGGACCAAACCATATTATAGTTGCTGATTCCTACAACAACCTGGGTGTTATATGTGAAAATGAAGGTGATCTAGAACTTGCTAAGAATTATCATCAACGGGCACTGGAAATCCGAGTAGAACAATTAGGACCAAACCATATTAAAGTTGCTGATTCCTACAACAACCTGGGTATTCTGTGTGGAAATAAAGGTGATCTAGAACTTGCTAAGGATTATTACCAACGGGCGCTGGAAATCCAATTAGAACATTTAGGACCAAAGCATATTAACGTTGCTGATTCCTACAACAACCTGGGTGTTTTGTGTGAAAATAAAGGTGATCTACAACTTGCTAAGGATTATCATCAACGGGCACTGGAAATCCGAGTAGAACAATTAGGACCAAACCATTTTGCCGTTGCTGCATCGTACCACAACTTAAGTATTGTGTTTAGTGGTGAAGGGGAACGAGAGAGGGCTGAATATTATCGTCGACGTGCGCTGGAAATTCGGCCTGAATATTAAGGTTCAACACCTACAAATGCATCTGGTTCTCGTAAGAGCCGATGTATATTACTTGTGATGCAGGGATGTAAACTGTAAAATGGGTATCGTTAATTCAGTTCTAATAGCTCTATTTACTAAAATAAAAAGCGAAGCTTCTTAAGAGCTGCAAAAGATGAAAAATGTAATAAAACGAACTGAGAAATCATTGGCAACAATCGTTTTATCATAATTAGCCTTTTCACAATCGAGCAAAGGTACTGTGTGTAGTCGTGAACCGGAAAGCATCTATGCATGGATTGTTTGGAGGGACAAGCTTGAAACTGCGCGAGTGACAAGGGATTTCAATATCAAGCTAAATAAATACGTCCATTTTCAACCATTTTTGATTTGTTTTTATTTTTAATTTGTAATTTTGTCCCTCCAACCATCCCAAGATGCATTGCGGTTCGGGACTGGACCCAGTACGCTGCTCGATTTGGAAAAGGCTATTAATAGTCCGCTTCAGCCTGTTCAGAACGTGTTTATTCATAACGTGCATGCATGGTCGCAATGTTCCCATAGAAGTGATAAATTTCTATAAAATTAAGCTTTGTAATATTGTTCAAGCAAATTCATTGCCAATTGTTCATGGATTTATAAATCTAATTCGTTTACAGGAACTATAATCAGTTCAAGGTAATGAACATAACATAGTATCTAACATCACTGTACTTCCGAAACATGTGCCGAAAGAAAACGCTTGTTGTCTATGCTACTCGATCTCTTGTGCGGGATTACCGGAATATATTGGGAACTGAAAATTTCCATTCATTTAGACAGTGAGATGCTGCTTATACTTCTTCAAAGTCAGTATTACTTCAAAGTTAGTAATTTAGAATCATAGCATTTGAAAAGGAAACATATTGTTCGTTGCAGGCGAAGAACGTTGAAACTCACAAAGGAATACCTCGTCGAAACATGAAAGTTTATGTTATATTCTAATGATATAGCTAGTTTGGTACTTTGTTTCTATATTCTCCTATATATAAGCTTGATTATACATTATTATCCGTCAGGGGCCGGTTGTATAAAACTCCTATATACTAACTACATTTTGGGTAGTAAAATCGTAGTTAACTCTAAAATACACGATTCTGATTGGCCAACTCTTTCACTAACTATAGTTACAAGTTAATAACTATCTTTTTATACAACCGGCCCCGGGATTGTAGTAGTCCCATCCCACCAAGGACATGGTTTCAATTTCGAAATTGAAAATGCGAAATTGAAATGCCGTTTGGGAGGATTTTCTCCGGGAACTCCGGTTTCATTTCTTTTTGTTTCGTTTTAAAAAACTGTGTCCAGGTTTGGGGTCAAAACAAGATTTGACACAGGAGTTCTTTGATAGACGAGTTTCTTTATAGAATAGTTGACCGCAAAATTGTAACCCACTGCCATAATAACTGCTCAATGTATGTTTGGGCCGTAGGTGAAAATCCCACACTGTACAAAATGTTGAAAATTATGAGCGAAATATTTATGTACTAAAACTAAAAGTTACTATCGCAAGGAAAGTGCTGCCTCACCCCAAGGGATTAAAGACAACATGCGTAATTTGCTGATTAAAGGGGCTGTTTTATATATGATCCCGCTTTGTCATGACGAGATGTGAGCCGGTGTTATTTTGATGTATTGAAACAAGTCACAGTGCAAAATTCATTATTTTCTTGAGATAGATTAATTAGTTAACTGTAAACGAAACATAATAACAATCTTCTGGAACTACAAGATCTTCTCTACTATATTTGAATTCTCTTAGCCAGCATTTTAACTTTTGTTTAGCCTACTGACTTATTTCAACACATCAAAATAATGACATCCCACCTTCCATCACGTAAACAGCCCCTAAAGGCCTGTTTACACTTGCAATGTTCACTGCGATTTCTACGGCGACTTTTTCAAATCTCCAATGTAAACACCCTGCGATTTTGACTGCACCTTTGGTGCGATAACACTGAAATTTGCAGCGATTTTTCCATTTTAGTAGCTTGTAAACTGAGTTAAATTTTCAATACACGACTGAAGTTCACAAACAATACAAAGATTTTGTTCTAATTAGGTTGTTTACGGCTGTTTTGTTATAAGTGATTGGCTGTAGAAAAAATACAGCGTATAAAAAGCCAAGGGGTTTCTCTATTGAACTACCACTCGCACACAAACGAATAGAAACACCAGTTTTTGTTCTAAAGTTACTACAAAGACAAAGACCAAAGTGAGCGCGGTAAATATTTATAGTATTGCAGTCATAGATATCTTATATACACTAGATAGCGCATCTCTTTTAGTAAAATTGAAGCCAAGAATATTCCAGCGGTTACCCCCATTTGAATAGATGGCGGCCAAGTTGGTCGTTCCCACTTGCTAATAAACGCTTAAAAACAACAATAACTTTCATCATTTGAATAGTTTAAAAACGTATTTGGAATAGGGTTAACTTCATGTTTAAGTTCCGTGTTTAAGAAATAGAAAATATACGAATCTTCTCATTTCATGGGAAATATTGATCATAAATTTTCATTCATTGCCCTCTCTGAAACCTGGCTACAATCCTCGGAGAATTCCTTTGAAATCCCTGGCTATAATTTTATTCATAATCACCGTCATAATAGAGCAGGCGGTGGCGTTGGATTATATTTTTCAGCCAATTTTAATTATAAAGTGCGTAAAGATTTAATTTATAACAATAACGATA